ATTTTATTTTGTTTTGGTTTGGGGGAGGGCACACCTGGCTGTTTACTCAGGGATCACTCCTGGACGGCTTAGGGGGGAGCCACAGAGGATGCCGAGGATCAAACCCTGGGCGGCATGCACGCAAGTCATGCAGTACTCTCGCTGCACTGTCTGCTATCATATCACTCTGGTCCCTGGTATTTTTAATAACCTATATTTAATATGAAATTTCCTGTGGGATCCTGCCATGTTTAACTTTAGGATTTTGTAATTTTAAAAAGCTGAGCCACATCTTCCTGTCTGAGCTCGACTAATACAAGTGCTTATCACACTTCCTGGCACAGGCCCGTGCAGGACGGTCATCATCGTTATTGCCACTGCCAAAAATATAACTAGACCTTTACCTTTGCGATTGAAAACAAATCTGAGCCCGGGGGAGGTCTCTCCAAGAGCTGGGGCACACGTTTTGCATGTGGGAGCCCTAGGCTCAATCCCCAGCATCACGTGGCCATCCAATGCCACTGGGAACCACCTGAGCACACCAGGAGGAGCCCCAGAGCTCAGCTGTGTGGGTCCTCAAAACAGAATGAAAACTCTGAGCCACTGAAATGCTCACAGCTCTCTGCCAGATGCTTATTCCTGGCTCTGTGCTCAGGGTTCACTCCTGGCAGGAGGGGTCGAACCTGGGTCAGCCGCATGCAAGGCAAGCACCTTACCTGCTGTGCTAAAGCTCCCACCTGCAGAAGGCCAAATTCTGATCAAATTCCTACAACAACACAAACAAATGCATTGCTTCCCACTAGTCCTTTTACTATAGTTGTTTCCAATCATTGCTCGGTCATCTGTTTTTCCTGGTGGGCTTGGGGGTCCGGAGTCACATCCAACAACCCTCAGCCTGGCCGGCTATCTTAAGTCAGGCTTAAGTAGTTTCTTCAAGACAGCTTTGGGGCCAGGGAGAAGGCTCAAAGCGTTGCGGTGCAAGCTTTGTACGGGTTCGATTCCAGCCACCGCATGCTCCACCCAGCACTGCCTGGAGGGATTCCCTGAGCACAGAGCTGGGTGTATGTTGCCCAAGTACTGCCAGGTGTGGTGCCCAAAACAAGGGGCAAGAGAGAAAGAGAGGGGAGGGGGGAGGGGAAAGAGGGGAGGGAGAGAAGGAGGGGAGGAGAGGAAGAGAAGTCTGTTGTGTTTCTTGGGCCGAGCGAAAGCACAGTGGGAAGAGCACTTGCCTTGCATGTGGCAGACCCAGGTTTAATCCCGGGCACCACCTATATCCCCCCCCCCAAACCCTGCCAGGTGCAGAGCCACAAGTAAGCCCTGAGCTCTGCTGGGTGTGACCCCAAAACAAAACAAACCATGTCTTTCTATCCTGCTTCACTCCCACACTTGCCACATGGCTGTGGAGCACAGCCCGGGATGTGGTGCTCACACACATCCTGGCTCTTGCTGGGAGTCCAGGCCCTGGCTGCAGTTCTTCTTGGGGGCTGCTGTGTGCTCACACGGCACTTGTGGGGCCTCACTCCCAGCCAGTGCTCTCCCGTCATTTCCGGTTGCAGGTCTCCTCAGGGGTCACACACACACCGGGCTGTACTGTGCACATAGAACCCCAGACAGCAGGTTCCTCAAGGCCTCATGTGGCGTGTGCAGGTGGCACCGGGGATCAAACCCTCGCTCGGTTGACACTTTCAGCCAATAGGCCCTCCCCAGGCCCAGAGCATCAAACTCTTCTCTGGTGAAGGGTCCTCCCCAGCAGTGCTCTGGGGGTCCAGGGACTGCTCCTAGGTATACTCTAGCAATCAGGCTTAAAGTTTTCCATGTTAGAATCCGAGGATTTGGTGCTGGCTTGGTGCCCAGTGCTGCAGGCCACCAGGCCACCCAGGAGGATACCAGGGTCACACCTGGAGTTTCTGGGGATGTCATGCAGTGTTGGGGACCCACAGCTGTCTCCCCACCTCCAGGTATAAAATCCTTGAGTCAATATCTTCTTCCCTTGAAGACTTGCTCGAATGTCTTCTAGAGTTGGAATATTAAAAAGAAGTGTGGTTGGGGCTGTGGGGGGTAAAATCCAATGGTGCTTAGAGATTATTCCTGGCTTAGTGCCCAGGGATCACTCCTGGCAAAACACAGGGGACCAAACAGTGCCAAGGATAGACCCGGGGATGACCACATGCAAGGGAGGCTCTTTAACCCCTGGACCACCTCTCTGCACTCAATATGAAGAAGTCTGCAACCGACCCAATTATTTTCACCATTAAAAGCAGCTAAATCTTTGGCTCGACTACCCGAAGGAATATCCTGATTTCTATCCAGTCTATCTTACTGTTAAGTTCTCTTCATTCCTTTCTTTTTTGGGGGGATGGGGATGGGATTGGCAATATCTAGCGATGCTCCAGGGTTACTCCTTGCTCTGTACTCAGGAATCTCTCCTTGCAGTGCTCTGGGGACCACATGGGATATTGGGGATCAAACCTGGGTTGGTTGTGAATCCCCCTTCATTTCTCATCGAGATACCTAATATGCTCTTCATCCAAACATTTAGATCTTTTCATTTTGCAAAAATACTCCTCAAGCATATTTCTATTCCTTTTGTGCCATTATATTGGTTTTCCTTGTGCACTCAATGATACATTGAGTTTTCCTGTCTTCTGCTATTCTCCTCTTCTTGCTAATCCTTTTTATCTTTTTACTTACTTTAAAAAAAAAATTCCTGGCATCTGTCCCTTTTCTTGCTTTCAGCAGTGCTAGTCACTCATGCCACATCCAATTCTTTCTGTATCTTAATGATTTTTTTTTCACAATTTGACAATTATAAAAAGTTGTGTTTGTTTTGTTTTGTTTTACAATATTTTTTACAATTCCGTTTGCTGCAGTGCTGGTGGCCACCCTGTTTAGTTGCAGGGCTCCGTGGAGCTAGCACTCTGGGCTGTGAGACACACACTGGCACTTCAGTGCTCATGCATTTCAGCTGCAGTGTTCAGGCACCTTTGGGTTAAGCGACTTAGACAGGTATACACTTGGTGGCGGAGCTCATGGAGGGCTGACATTTCCGTTGCAGTTCTTATTCACACTCTTATGGTGCCAAGGTGACAAGTGGGGATTGCCCTTGACATATGGGGTGGTGCTGGGCATCAAACCCCAGGCCTTGTACCTGCAACACAGGCGCTGTACCTCTGAGACACCCCCGGGCCCCCATTTTATATGATGCTTTAAATTTTGTTTATTTCATGTTTTTTTTTCTTGAGTTCTTCAGTTTCCATATCATCTATTTTCCTTTGGGGTGGGGGGTGCAGGCGTTGGGCCACACCTGACTGAACTCAGGGGTGACTCCTGGCAGTGCTTGGGGGACCATATGGGATGCCGAGGATCAAACATAAGACACTTGCTAGGCAAGCATCCTACCCACTGTACTGTCTCTCTTGTTCCAAAAAAAAAAAAAAATTCTTTAATGCCTTTAATTTTTCCTGTTTCTTCTATTTTTTTTCCCTTTTAATATGTAAGTATAGCTCAGCTTTCAGTGAGCTTTTTGTTACTATCTCAGTAAGAGTTGAGCATATGTTCCAAGTAACAGGAATTTTTCATGACTCAATGTTGTATATAAAAATCCTTTCCTTTTTCCTTATTTGATTCTTTGGGAATCATGCTGGGAGCTGAATCTGGAACTGCCATTATGCAAAGCGTGCACTCCCGCCCTTTGAGCTGTCTCCCCAGTCATAGATGAACCCATTTCATCTACTTCCTTCCAGATGCCAGGCTGGAAGTATCTCCTCTCCCCTCCTCCCCTTGAGAGACAAACTGCTTCAGGCCAATGTGGCTTGAGGGGTGGGAAGGTGTCAGAGGAAGCCCTGCCACAATCCATGCAGCTAATCCTGTTGATAAATGAAGGGATTTATTTTGTGCTTTAGTTGTGCTCTTTCTCCTCTTGAAGAAAAGCAATCACGTCTTTTCTAAGATCCGGGAGCTCTCCAGCTGGCCCTGCCCTGCCCCCAGTGTGTCCTGGAGCCATGTCCCCCCATACGATTTGAGGCTGCAGACAGCCCTTCAACCTCCCATCTTCTTGTTTTCTGAAAGATGGGAGTCTGAGTTACTTTTTCCGCTCTCCATATTCCTTTTGCGAGATATCAAGGACAAGAAGGGGAGGATGTCAACAAGCACACTCACTTCCATTCAAAGGGGAAGTTCTTGAAAGAAGGAAGTTTATCACAGGGGCCAGAGTGACAGTACAGTGGTTAGGGCCTTACTTGCAAATGGCTGACCAGGTTCAATCCTCAGCATCCTATATGATCCCCAAGCACTGACAGGAGTGATTCCTAAGCACAGAGCCAAGAGTAACCCCTGAGCATCGCCAAGTTTGACCCCAAACCAAAAACAAACATCAAAAAAATAAGTTTATCATGACCAGCACAATAGTCAGCTGAGTAGATTCAATGCCCATCACGCAGATAGTCTCTCCTATCCATATGTATTCATATGTGCTGTACACATGCCTGTTAAAAGCAACTTGAGCCTCATAAAGTTAAATGCCTTACTATAAAACTTCTCCCATAGCACAGCGGGTAGGACATTTGCCTTGCATGTGGCCGACCCAGGTTCGATTCCTCTGTCCCTCTTGGAGAGCCCGCCAAGCTACCTAGAGTATCCTCCTGCATGGCAGAGCCTGGCAAGCTACCTATGGCGTATTCGATATGCCAAAAATACTAACAAATTTCACAATGGAGACATTACTGGTGCCCGCTAGGGCTCAATGAACAATGTGAGGACAGTGCTACAGTGCCTTACTAAAGAGTCAAAGCTGGTGAAAGCCCAGGCAGCCCGACTCCTGGTCCGTGTCCTCACCACTTCCATTCTGTACTTCCATGTATGTCTAAGGCCACTGACCTCCACTCACCTTCCTTCTTAGCATCCCTATTAGTATAAGCTGATCTCTAAGAATTATACCTAGAAAAGACTGAAAACCACATAACTGACCAATAGTAGGGGTGAGGAAGAAAGAAGCCCAAGGAAACAGACTTAGTTCCCGTTACCTGGCTTAGTATCTGTCACTCCTTCCATAAGAACCAGTCCTATAGGTCGCTGACAAGCAACGCTGCAGAAGCGGAAACGTAGCAGGAAGTCCCGGCCATATTTACGTCTCTCTGCAAACCAGGAAAAACCACACGGTGAAGGATGGGAACGGGAGCTGCATCTAAGACCTCCTTCATACCAAGGAGCTGCTAGTGGGGGACAAAGAGGAATTCTGTGGACAAAGCTCTGGTTTAAAGTTAACCCTTTCAGGAGGCCAGAGAGAGAATAAAACAGGTAGGGCACGGGTTCAATGCCCAGCATGCCTATGGTCCCCTCAGCACTGCCAGAAGTAATTCCTGAGCAGAGTGCCAGGAGTAACCCCTAGCACTGCTGCTGGGTGTGGCCCCAAAACCAAAATAAATAAAGTTATCTCTCTCAGGTGCCAAAGAGATAGAACAGTGGACAGATAAAACTCACCTTGCATGAGCCACCTTGCATCACACTTGATAGACCCAGGTTCTATGCCTGGTGCCCTATTTGATCCCCCAAGCACTGCCAGGAGTGATCCCTGAGTGCAGTCAGGAGTAAGTCCTGAATACCGCTAGGTGTGGCCCCAAAACAAAAAACAAAAAAATAATGTTGTCCTGTTTGGTGGGTGACCAAAACACAGAAAATTGCTAAGACTATTCAGGAGGTTGCCGGTGAGGTTCAGCTTTCTCCCAAATGGCTGTGGAGGTGCAGTGAGCCAAGAATGCGACACATGCTCACCTGATCTCTTGGGGTGACAGGTGGAAATATACTGACAGCAATCAGTGATCCCCAGGGAACTGGGCCACAGGGGGGCCTGCAGCTTCCTCTGGTAAAGCTGATGGGAGAAGTCTTCCTGCCCTGATACCTACAAGGAAAGACGGGATGAGTAGGAGGAAACCGAGATGGGAAAAGGAAAAGGCTTGTTTAGGGAAACATGGAAACAAATGTGTGTGTTCGCGCGCACGCGCGCACACACACACACACACACACACACACACCCCACATACAAAGGATAGGTAAGCCACATATACTTAAGGGAAGGCTCAACATAAATTAATTGAAAAAAATCACTTTATAAAATAACTCCACTGAAATATCTGTGATCAAGAAAGAGTGCAGGATGAGTGTAAGGCCTGAGCCACAGAGAACTGAAGTACAGGTACACACCGTCTCCTACACTTTACCTCATAAAAATCAACATTAATCCTCCTCAGGACCATCAGCTTTCAGGGGTTTTAATTGTAATGGGTATAGACTTTTCTTTGGACCATCTAGATCAGGGGTTGGGAAGTTTTTCTCTGCCAAGGGCTATCTGGAGCTTTATGTCACCCATGAGCCAGGCAGTGCAGACAGACAAGCCCAGGGCAGCAGATGAGAAACATCCTTGTCTGTCCCATCATGGGCCAGGACCAGACCACAGGACCTCAAGGGTTGGATGCTCCTCCCCCCAGTCTCCAATAATGGGTTGAAGATCAAGTCCAACTTCTTCTGCCCATTATCAGAGAAGCACAGGGTGAAACCAAATGGAAAGGCAGCAAAGTTTTGGCCGCCACTATACACTATATCTATGCTTTCATCCTTGGTCAGAGTCAACAAGTAGCCTGGGAACAAGTGACATAATCTGCACATCTCCAACAAAGGCATTAGATCCCACTTCTTTCATCTAACATCACCAAGTATTTGAATGCCTACTACGCGTGAGGGGCTGGAGTGATAGCACAGTGGGTAGGGCGTTTGCCTTGCATGCAGCCACCATGGTCAACCCGAGTTCGATTCCTCTGCCCCTCTTGGAGAGCCCGGCAAGCAACCAAGAGTATCTTGCCCTCACAGCAAAGCCTGGCAAGCTCCCCGTGATGTAATGTATTCGATATGCCAAACACAGTAACAAGTCTCACAATGTTACTGGGCCCACTCAAGCAAATTGATGAACAACGGGAGGACAGTGACAGTGACAGTGACTACGCGTGAGACACTATGCTAAGAGCTGAGCAGAGCAGCGAGGGACAGGATGTCTTTGCCCTTAGAGCTAGGTGTCAATTCCAACATGCCACTGAAGCCCAAAGGACCTGGTACGTAAGAGCCATTTGCTAGCTGGGCGCCTTCTAGCCAAGTCAGTTAATGCTCTGGGGTTCAATGTTCCCTACTGTAAAATGGTCTAGGAATAGCACATACAATTAAGAATCATGGTGATAATAATCCCTACCCATTACTGAGTGCTTCCTGAAAAGCAGAAACTGGGAAATGCTTTTTTTTTTGTTTGGGGGCCACATTCAGTGGTGCTCGGGGCTTACTCTTGGCTCTGCACTCAGGGATCACTCCTGCTGGTGCTCAGGAGACCAAATGGGATGCCGGAGATCATCAATCACAAGAAGGCAAGCATTCGGCCCACTGTACTATCTCTCCCCAGGAGATATTCAGATATCCAGGTACATATCCAGGTCTGTCACCAAACTGGAAAATATATCATTATTTCATTGAATCCACTAACAGAAGGAACCCTTTGAAGTGGTGCCATTGCTTCATGTGTACAAATGAGGCAAACGGGGCTTACAGAAGTAAAATGACTTGCCCGAGGTGGCAGAGCAGGGATTTGAACTTGGGACTGACTTGCTTCAAGATACATGCCCTGCACTGGTGGAGGGATGGGTATTTGATCGGGGTATGACCGAGATCCAAGCACAAAAATTTGTAAATCTACAACTGTACCTCATGTCGTTTCACTAATAAAAAAGAAAAAAAAAAGAAATAAACAATGTAATGAAAAAAAAAATGTAACCACACATTTGTATGGGTAATAGTGTTTGAAGAATAAAATTTCTGGCTACTATAAAAAAAAAAAAAAAAAAAAAAAAAGATACATGCCCTGAGTGACTTGTGCAAAGGCTGCCTGTCACATGGCACACACAGTCAGGAAGCACTGCAGCTCCCTGGGCATCCGACCATAGCCACTTTCTGGAAGGATGACGCCTGTCTCTGTACACGTGGCAACTAGGACATGACTGGCATCTGAATAACCTCATTACAACAAAAGCCCAGAGTGCTCAACAGTTGAGTTGCTCTGTGCCCTTTCTCCACTACGTCTCGCCAAAAGTTAAACAATAAGTTGGATCACTATGAGCAAAAACAAAGGAACCAGGAAGATTAAGTGACATAGAAAGAAATCAGCGCAAACTGAATGTCCATCAACAGGACTAAATACTCGGTGATAAAATCAAGCAATATCTCTGCAACATTATTCAGCAGGTTAAAGGAATGAGACAAGCCCAGGTATGCATTGTTAAGAGAGAAAAAAACAAAACATGGTCCAGAGAGATTGAACAGTGGGTAAGGCCAACCCGCATTTGATACCTGGCACCCCATATGGTCCCCTGAGTGCCACTAGTAGTGATCCCTGAGTTCAGGGCCAGAAGAAAACCGTCAGCACCACTGGTGTGGCCCCCAAACCCCAAAACAAATAAAACCTAACTATAAAATGAAACGCAGGGGCTGGAGCAATAGTACAGTGGGTAGGGCATTTGCCTTGCAAGTGGCTGGCCCAGGTTCGATTCCCAGCATCCCATAAGGTCCCCCAAGTACTGCCAGGAATAATTCCTGAGTGCAAAGCCAGGAGTAACCCCTGTGCATTGCCGGGTGTGATCCAAAAAGCAAAAATAAATAAATGAATGAAATGAAATGCATCAAAAGTGTCATCTCCTGGCAAATGGGCACATGGACTTGACACCAGCTGTTAGCCACCATCACATCTCAATACTGGAGGGCAGGAGCCCTGGGACTAGACCGCCTGTTCACAAATCCGAGTTCCACCCTATCTGCATAAGAGTCAGCAAATCACTCCACGTCACTGTGCCCCTGTTCCCTTACTTAGAAAATGAAAATGAATGACTTACTACATACAAAATGCTTAAGACAGCACTGAGCACGAGGCGAGTGCTTAATACACGTGCATCCTAACTGCAGCCATATAGGAACATGGATCACAAACACAGAAAACACATCCACAAGCCCAGAACCAAATATGCGACAGTCATCACTTGCTCTAAGATAAAAAAGGTAGGTCATAAAGGGGTTACCTATGAACCGAAAACAAGTGAATGGCAAAAAACTGGACAAATATCAAGGTGTTGGAGAGTCCCTAAATTCCAGATTTTGACACAAACCACTCAAGGCAGTCAAAGAAAGCACGAGGGAGCCAGAACTGGCATCCCCAGGCCAGTGCCACTGGAACAGCATCTGGGCTGCACCCAAACCTCCCAAGCCCTCAGTGGCCCTCCCCACTGCACCTTCCAGGCCGGCATCCCATGGTACTGGAGCTCTCCATCCCTGATGAAGTTGTAGAGTGGCGAGTCGGGGACAGAGTTCAGGTCCCCACACAAGATGATGGGGCAGTGGCTGCCGTCTGACAACCTGGCCACCTTGTCGACTTCGGCCAAGAGAATGGCCATCTGAGCCAGCTTGACGTCGCCCCGGCGAGGGTTGTACAGGACGTGGGTGTTTGCCACACACAGCGGGGCCACCGAGACCTGTCCCAGGCCTTCTGGGACAAGTGGCTGCAGCAGCAAGACTAAGCCCACGTTGTCCCGATTGAGGAGCTCCAAGCCCGGCCGGAAGTACTCCACAGGGCTGGCGCAGAGCAGGCGGAATCTCGTGGGCTTGTAGCAGACAGCACAGCCGTCTGTCTTACACCCGGTCCTCCTCTTATAGAAACAGGTAAAGCCTGCAAGGAACACCCCAGCAAGGAGATGCATCAGAGCGCAAAGCCTGAATCCCTCCAGCCGGCGCCAGTGGACAAGGGTGAGGGTCTGGGAACTACTCCTGCCCGCAATACAGGAATTCCTTGCCCTGGCCAGAGGTCTGAGTGGGAAGGAGGGACAGACGGGTATGAAGCAGCGCAACTCCAGAGGAGAAGCATGGAGTCTAGCAGCCGGCAAGGTCCAACCTCTGCTCCTTTGTAGCTTTGAATCCTTGAGAAAGTCATGCCAATTTTCAAGACCTCAGTTCCCTCAGCTGTGAAATGGGGATAACCCTGGGCATCACACCGTTGGCTGCTTTAAGGACTAAGTGGCCCTATGTCGGAACTGCCTTCAAGGCTGCAGAACGCGACTTCCTTTCCCGCCCATGGAAAAAAGATGCTAGCTTGAGAGACTGGCATTTTCCTAAAATGACAGGGAAGTCAGCACCCTCAGGAGTCGTGGGGAGAGAAGCTGGCGGCAGCACGGGAACAGCATTACCCATCATGCGCAGAGAAGGTTCCAGCTGCTCCCAGTAGTGATCTTCCTGGACTTCCTGGAGACACAGGATCTGGGGAAAGGACAGAGACACTTTACTCCGGGGCTGCTAGAATGCAGGCTGCCCACCCCGACTCTGGGCAGGCACTGGGCCCAGGTGGCAAAAGCCCTGTGGCTTTCAGGCAGGGTCCCGTGGGAAATGATTCTGTCCAGACAGCCGCCAGCAGCACACACGGGCCCAGCCTTGGCTGAGAGAAACCAGCAACGTGAACGGCGCCTGCCTGTGCCTTGGCTGCCCCGGGGCCCCTTCCCCTCAGAAAGGGCCCAGGAAGTACACACTGAGGAGGGCTTTTCAGCCTCTGCCCCCCACCCCCAAACACCAGGGTGCACCAGGCAGGCACCCTCCAGCCCCAGGGAAGAACTCCCATCCCGGGGGCAGCCGTGAGCAGCATGCAAAGGACACGTTCCCCCCTTTTCCACTCACATCGGGGTCCCAGTGCTGGAATTCCTGCATGAGGTTTGCAAAGCGGTAGTTCCAGTTTAGGATGTCCGGGTGGCAGTGCATATACAGCTCTGAGCTCTGCTGCATCAGGTCCTGGGCCAGGATGTTATAGGACATGAGCGTGAACTGGAACTGAGGGCCATCCCCTGCCTCCAGGCCCTGGGCATCTGGCTGAGTGGAGAAATCCTCCCATTCTCGCCACAGGATTTCTGCAAGGGCGGTGGGAAGAGGCACAATGTACGTTTTCCAGAGACAGCTACCACTTCCTCTCCTAACTCAGCGTTCACAGCACCTTACCTGAAGCTTCTTTTTTCTTGTCCTCCCTGTCACCTGGACCTTCCTCAGTGGCGATATTAGCAGTACTTTGGAGCATGTCCCAAGACTAGTAGCACTGTAGCACTGTCATCCCGTTGTTCATCAATTTGCTCGACCGGGCACCAGTAACATCTCCATTGTGAGACTTGTTGTTACTGTTTTTGGCATATTGAACATGCCATGGGGAGCTTGCCAGGCTCTGTCGTACAGGCAGGATGCTCTCGGTAGCTTGCCGGGCTCTCCAAGAGGGATGAAGGAATCGAACCCAGGTCGGCCGCATGCAAGACAAACACCCTACCCACTGTGCTATCACTCCAGCCCCCCCCCAAGACTAGTAAATTGCATATAAAATCTGGGACTTTCTCAGCCTGACAAACTCACCACTGCGTCCCCAGTATCTAGCACAGTTCCCGGGACCTATTACATGCTCAACAAATATTTATAGGCCCACCAGTTTTCACTTGAAATGAACCCTTGGTTCCCTGGGGAACCACTCAGATGAATGGGCTTCACAGTCAGCTGAGGTTAAAGACGTTTCTAGAGCAATTTCTTTCAATTGTGGGTTTTCTCTGACCTCCACGCCTGGGGGAGCTTGTGGAAAGTATGTGTCCCCATTGTCCCGAGAGCATGGGAGTGTGTTAGTGGCTTTCAGACTGACTTGAGTCGCAGAGCTCATTCTCCCAGTTAATGGAAGAAGCCCAGGTAGTAAAGCATGAAAGCAGAAGAAGGTGGGAGAGCTCCCTCCTGCCCCCGGGAAGTCCACAGGTCCCCTCCCGAGAAACAACAGCAAAGACGATAAGAACGACAGTTAGTGGTTATGGGAGAAACACATGGCTGTGGGCCTGAGGGCAGGTCCTGCTCTCTCTGTGGCTCTTTTCTTCCCCCCCCCCCCCCCCCCCCCCCCCCCGCTTTTTGGGTCACACCCAGCAATGCACAGGGGTTACTCCTGGCTCATGCACTCCGGAATTACTCCTGGCAGTATTCGGTGGACCATATGGGATGCTGGGAATCTAACCCGGGCCAGCCGCATGCAAGGCAAACGCCCTACCCACTGTGCTATCACTTCAAACCCTCTATGTCGCTCTTATCTACATGTAAGTCCACACAGGCCAAGGTGAGGTGATGTCTAAGTGACACCACAAGACATTCCGAAAAGGAGAACACAAGAGGCAGAGGATGCGTCCCTCCCCCACATCCCCCAGCCGACCCCCAGAATGACTTTAGCTCTGCTCTGCAACCGCCCCGCCCTGCAAACCACTGGCTGCCACAGCTCCCTCCGCCGGCTGCAGACTCACCGTGATATGGGATTTCCATTGGGGGAGGCTGTAACTGCCCCAGGCCCTCAAAGGGCCAGATGGGAGCCTCTTCTTGGGGGAGAGGCTCGGCTGTCATGTTCCAGGCCACCACGGCAGGGTCCTCTTCCCACTGCTCTGCGGCCAGGGCACCCATAGGGAGGACAGCACAGTCTGCATACTGGGGGGCCGCCTGCATGGGCACCGCGGCCCACATCGGGCCCTCCACTTCCGGAACGGGGTCCTCTCCTAGCCCCTCGGGGAAAGGCTCCTCCAGGTTCTCAGCTGCCCGCAGGTCGCTCAGCTGCCTACTGGGCCACTTGTCCTCTGAAGCAGCATCCTGTTCTCCCGGATTATCCATCAGGAGGGCCAGGCTGCTCTGGGCGAGGCCCTTATCCTCAAGGGGCCCCTCGTTCACTGTTGAAGGTACCTGGCTTGACCCCTCTTCTCGCCACTGCTGCAGCAGGCCCTCACACTCCTCCTGGTCAGGGCCCCGAGGGGCCATGGCAAAGTCGCCCTCTACCTGGGGGGACGCGCTCTTCGCCAGGAGGGCATTTTTTCGACACGTGAAGAAAGCATCTGAGAAGAAAGGCAAAACACCAGGTTATAAGAGGATCACAGCGCTCGGCCCCTAATTCTAACCAGAACCTCCAGTGCATGTAGAGCAAGAATCACTGCCACCTTTCGTGGTAACGTACTGGCCCAGAACCAGACTGGGTTGTTTGTCTGGAGCACCATAACCAGAGCAAAGTCTTACCATGTGCCAACACTGTGCTACAGGCTTGACAAGTGCTGGCTGATTGCTAAGACAGGAATCTGATGAATATTCTGTGCCTAGATGTAGGAACTACAGGGACAGAGATAAGCACATGATCACACCACCCCATCTATCTAGAGGGGAAGACTCCTCTCACACATCAGCTCTAAGTCCCATGTCACATTGGAACCAGGACTGGGGGTTGGCGACTTCAGACCATGTCAGAGGAGGCACCCTCTTAACTACAAAACAGGAGAAAGGGAAGTTTGAACTCGCTAACTCCAAGAGTTTTTTCTAGTTTTATCAATCTAACTTCCAAAAGCATTCCAAGGGACCTGGGAGATAGTACAGCAGGCTAGGGCATGTGCCTTGCCTGTGGTCGACCCGGGTTCGGTCCCTGGCTCTATATATAGTTCCCTGAGCCTGTCAGAAGTGATCCCTAGGTGCAGAGCCAAGGAATAAGCCCTGAACACAGCCAGGTGTGGTCCCAAAACAAACAAAAAAAAGTTTTGTTTTTTTTTTTTTAGACTAAGACTAAGTTCTCATGGAAAGAAAAAAGGATGCCTCAAAAGCTATCCAGCATGCTTCTTTGCAAAGGCCCTTGGTCCTCTTTTCAAAGCTATTTATTCTGCTCATAAATCTTCACTACTTCATTATCAGCTTTCCTATTCCCTAACACATCAGAAGCTGCAAATCGGAAGGTGCCAACTGACAGCAAGAGACAGCAGTCATCTCTCCACTAGAGCAGCCACAAATGACAGCCCACAGGCAACCAAGCAGGGAGGGGGGACCCTAAAATTAGAGTCCTCGCACTTGAAGCACAGTATTTTGGAGCAAACACCCAAACTATATCACTTGTCCTATGGACAAGTGATATACACCATAATGACCTCAATCCTCAAAGATTTATCAGCTCAAATGAGAGGCAAAAAATAAAAAAAAAAAAACCCAAAACTCTTCAGATCACTTTGTTAGTATGTCAGAAGAGGTTTTTTTTTTTTAATCCCACTAAACTAGTCTTTTGAGGGGGTGGTTGTGAATTTTGCCCCCAGGCATATGGGCTTTATCTGGGACTGTGGTTGTCACAAGTGTGGGGACACTGCTGGCCCCTAGTGGTGAGCGCCTAAGAACAGCCCAGGACAGCCCCATAAGGAAAGATCCGCAGCTGAAAGTCAGCAGGGCTGAGACCTGCAAACCGTCTGAAGCCTGGTCTGCGCACACCTGGGGGCAAAGGAGTTAGAGTTGATACTTGTTAGAGGTCGCTACATTTCCATTTTGTAGGTTTTGGTGGGGTGGCCTTTCAGGAGCAGAATTCTTTTATTAAAGAAAAAAATAAGGGAACGTCCCTGTGCAGCCAAACACAAAGCTAGTATTTGTGTCCGCCTGAAAGGTGGGTGGAAGGGGGTCTTCCTCTGATCATCCCCCTCCATCTCTGGGTGGCAGTGGGCTGAGGAAACGGCTGGGCTAGATATTGTCACCAAAGGCTGCCATCTGGGGCACTGGAAACGCTCCAGCCGTGGAGGCCACACAATTCAAGACATCTGCTTCCCCTCCGATTTTTCATTTCCTAACCCCAACAGAGTGGGACGCCCACTTTATTGGAGGAAAGGGCAGGCACTGCACTGTGCAGAACCCAACCTGGGCACACATAGGGAGCACAGGCGCCTTTCAACGAAGCTGTGTCTGTTAAATAATACAATTAAAATCAGAAAAAGAAAAAAGAAAAGAAAATCATAAAATAATTAAATTTTTTTTTTAATTTAGGGGCTGGAGTGATAGCACAGCGGGTAGGGCGTTTGCCTTGCACGAGACCGACCCGGGTTCAATTCCAGCATCCCATATGATTCCCCAAGCACCGCCAGGAGTAATTCCTGAGTGCAGAGCCAGGAGTAACCCCTGTGCCTCGCCGGGTATGACCCAAAAAGAAAAAAAAAATTAAAAAAAGATGCGCCGATGACGGCCAAAGACAGAGCGAGGGAAAAACACTGCGTGTCGGTGGGGGGGGGGGGGGCCGACTCCTAACAAAGTACCTCTCTCTCTCTAGGTGCTTGCCCCCTCTTCGTCTTGGGAGTTTTGTGGGGTCGCAGCGGCTTCCCAACGAGCAGGGCGGGCGGGGGCGGGGGGCAGGGGGAGGGCAAGAGCGGCTGGGCACGGCCTGGGGGCCACCCGGAGCCCCTGCTCGGCGGGGAAAGGCGCCGAGAGGCGGCTACAGGGCGTGTGCAGCCCCCCCGGGGCTCCCGTCCGTCAGTCCCCGGACCCCCGGGGCATCCACCGGGACCCGCAAGGGGGCCAGTGCTCTCCCCGGCCGGGCCGATGACTCAGCGGGGGCCCCAGGCGCTCTCGGCACCCCCGGGCCCGGTGCCCGGTTCCGCCCGCCGCCACCGCGGGCCCCAACAGGCCGCGGCTGGAAGAGGGGCTGCCCACGAGGGTCGCCGGCCCCGGCCCCGGCCGCGAGGGATCAAGAACGGGCACCGCGGGGCTGCCTCCCCGCACTCGGGCACTGGCCGGGCCGAGAGGACGAGGGTCGTGCGCCCGACGCGCCGCCCGAGGCCCCTGGGGCCCCGCCTAGGCCGGACGGGGCCTGGCACCCGCCTGCCAGGACGCGGGGCCGGTACCTGAGAGGGCGCGGAAGAGGCGCGCGGCCGGCAGCAGCAGGTAACACAGGCACGACGCGATCATGGCCGGCCGCCCCGCCCCGCGCCCGCAGCCGCCTCGCCGCCCGCCCCGCTGCCCGCTGTCCAGTTGCCCCGCTGCCCTCAGCTCCGCCCCGCCCCGGCTCGCCCCGCCCCTCCCCGGGATAGCCCCGCCCCGTCCTGGGATCGCCCCGCCCGGCTTGCCCTCAGCTCCGCCCCACCCAGGTTCGCCCCGCCCCTCCCCGGGATAGCCCCGCCCCGCCCGGACTCGCCCCGCCCCTCCCGGCTGCCCTCAGTCTCACCCGGGATCGCCCCGCCCCGGACACGCCCCTGCCCGCCCACCTCACGTGGCCAGCGCGGCGCTTCAACACAACTTTATTAAGATCTCCGGTCCTCGCTGGCGCCCGCCTGAGCGTGGAGGCCGGTTCCCTTGGCAACCCGCCCGGCCTACCTAGCTCCCCGCCGCAGTCTGAGCGCCCGATTTGAAATTGAGCTCCTCTCTGAGGCACTGTAGTGCATCTCAGTCCTGAGAGGTCCACCTTGCATCCCTCCCGGTGTTCTCACTTGTGTCTGGTCACACACACACACACACACACACACACACACACACACACACATATACACACACACACACACTCCGTTTCTAGGTCCCAAGTTGTGTCCACAACTTGCTTCCTGTTCCAAAGGGGCCCCTTTTCCCTTCAGTACCCAGTGTCTGAGCTGTGCAATTTCCAATTTGTGGTTGGAGCCTCGGCTGTTCCTGGAAGCCCTCTGGGGAGTCACCCGATCCAGGACCAGCTGGATACATCATAACACTGAAAGCCTGCAAGGAGGAAGGAGAAGAGAGTCAGTGGGGGGTGCTGTCCTTTCAGCTCTAGAGGCAGTGTAAGCTTAAAATGAAGCACGTGCTAAACTGAAGGTAAAGAAGCCTCTAAGAAATCAGCACCCAAACATTAGTTCTACCAAAGCCACCCTGAAGCCAGGCCCACTCCTTTGACATGGCTTAAATAACCTTCCTTGCACCGTCCTTCCATTTTGTCCCAAGTTACCCAGAAGTCCAAGTTCCAAATCAAATACTAAATTGAACTGATCTAGAAACTATGTTTACCAATTTTTGAACTGATGACTCCCTTTCCTCTTGAGAAATGTCTTCAAAAGACATTCCTGCACCCTCTTCCCAGAGTTCTGACTTAACAGTCTGGGATGGGGCTCTTGGATATTCACCAGGTCCTTCTGGAGTCTGGCTCAGAACTCTGCTGAAGGTCAGCCTCAGTTTGGGCTGTTCGGGTCACAAGGGTTGGGCAAAGTATGGCAGTCACTAATGTCTTGTTCTTTCAGAGAACTTTCCTGAGACAAGTTCACCCAGATTGCCTGGTCATCCTCTTTTTTGTTTCCTGATGAACCAGATTAGAAAGTAATGAGCAACATTGAGCTGAGTTCCTGGCTCTGGCATTTCCTTACCACAGAACCCGTCAGATAACCTGATCTTGATTCCTCAGAGTGCCAGACCCAAGCTTCACCGTTGACAATTATATTTTTAGAACTGAGCCAACTCTGGGATGTTCCTAATGGATGGTCTTCTTCCACTATCCCTGGCTTCTTCAAGCTACTACTGTGTGCTAAAGAAGTCGTAGCTACAGAATCAAAGGAAGGGGGTTGGCCAGAATTACCACCTCAGGCTTCCCCAAAGCAAAATTACAAGTATCATCCGCAGCCTCCTCACGTCACAACTATTCCAAGAAGAGAGAACGTATGGGTGTCTCAATTCATTCCAACTGTTGATAACAAGCACAGGCAATGGGAAACATCCGGGTCTACCATGGGGGGGTGGGGGACAAGCAGAAGGTTTTGCAATACTTTGAGACATTCAAAATGCTCTCTCAAGGAAAATTTTCTATGTGTAGAAAATGTGGTCCCTTGAAGATTCAGATTTGATTTATACCAACAGGTATGTGTGGAAGTTTGATAGTGTGTGCCTTGGTTGTGTTGGCTGAACACGTCAGTTTTCAGGCTATTGGCATGCTTCCTGCAGGACTGCAGAGGCAACTGACCAAGGTTAGAGCAGCACTGCCCAAGGGAAATAAATTGTGAACTACTTGTTTATTCATTTAATTGTTTTCTAGTAGCCCCACACCAAAAAAAGCATTTAAAAGCAGGTTAAATTGAATAATGCTTTGGCCCCGCAGAAACAAGAATTTTTATATTTTAACATGTCATTGATGTTTAGAAGGCCATCTGCGTGTCTATCTCTAAAATCCTGTGTGTGTGTTACACGGACAATACATCTCAATTCAAAGTTTCAAGGGCTCAAGTTATAAGGGGCTGATAGCTATTATATCGAACGTGTATGTCTGGAGAACACAAACAGCCTCTCAGACGGGATAAGCTGAGAGAGTTTCTAGCTTCAAGTTTTATGATCACCTGAGCTGCCTGCCCATCTTGTAAACTGGCTCTTCTAAGGTTAATCTTTCCTATGGGATGTTCAAAATTCCTGACTGAATAGTGTCGGTATGTTCCCGCTGGTCTGGGTTGATTCTTTTCATTTGTTCACTGATTCACACATTCATGTGTGAGATTTATCATGCTTTCGTCAGTGTTAACCTATCCTCACTTTTACTTTTTTTTTTTTGACCCCCTCTGACTTTCCAGGAAGACTCTGGCCCTGGACTCACAGACTTCCCTACTTCAAGTCCCCTCTGCCCTTACAATGTGCCAAAGCCCACCACACTTTCATTGTCACCACCTATTGATTCCATTACACCATACTTCACACACACACACACACACACACACACACACACACACATTTACATACTTTGTGTCATTACCAGGTACCTCCCTGGCATCTCATATAGTCTTCTGTACTTGGCCAAGAGTAACTCCTGAGTGTGGAGTCAGGAGTAACCTCTGAGCAACACCAGGTAGCACTGCACTGTCCATTGTTCATCGATTTGCTCGAGCGGGAACCAGTAACGTCTCCATTGTGAGACTTGTTGTTACTGTTTTTGACATATTGAATATACCATGGAGAGCTTGCCAGGCTCTGCCGTGTGGGTGGGATACTCTTGGTAGCGTGCCGGGCTCTCTGAGAGGGACAGAGGAATAGAACCCAGGTCGGCCACATACAAGGCAAATGCCCTACCCGCTGTGCTATCGCTCCTGAGCATCACCAGGTACAGTCCGAAAAGTCAAAAATAAATAAATAATAAAAATTATAGCCCTGGTCTTCTTTCTTTGGTTGTTCTTCCTAAATCTTTCTTCAGGATGTGGTTTCTGCCAACTTTCCTTGATTCTTTTTCTCACCATTCTTTCCTATGGAGAACTCAGACCTTCAGTAGTCATTTAATAGCTAATAAATACAATGACAAACTTTGACAAACTTTTTCTTGAAGGAGGGAATACTTTTTACTTTATCATGAGTCTAGCAATGGCTCAAAGTTATCATTGTAGCAATTGAGTAGCCAGAGGTAATACCTAAATAAAGGATTACAATTGTGTTTCAGAAAAACTTCAAGGGATGCTAAAGTTAGTGAGGTCAGAGAGAACGTAAAGAGGTTAACGTATTTGCCTTGCAAGCACTCAACCCCTGTTCAATCCCCGGCACTGTATATAGTCCCCTAAGCATTTCCAGGAGTGAACCCTGATCACAGAGCCAAGATAAAGTGATAAACATCTAGGCTTTCAGGCTTTTAAATAAATAAAAGTCTTAAATAAATAAAAGGTTTTTATTTTTTAAAAACTTCTCATACAAAATAGAAGCTTAAATAAATTTAAAAGCTTTCACGCAAATAAAAATTGAGTAGTGTGCAAAAACATTTAAGCAGATACAGGACACTTGCATAATCTTTAAAAATCTCCTATACAAATATAGATTAAATAAGGAGAAAAGAATGGCTTGACAGCTGGCAGAGGTGAAACCTGGCAGAGGCCGCACTGACTACACTGACCCTGTAACACAGATCAGCTTCATGGGCCCCTAAGAAAGGTGCCTCCAAAACCCTGCCCACCAGGATAGAATATCAGATGACCCCCAAATCAGAGACAATTTCCAAAAATACCTGACTAGTACTTTTTATGAAAGTATGAAAGATTAAGATGGACTTAGGAAATGATACCAGCCAGAAGAGAACTAGAGACAAAAAAGCAAGACCAAAAGAAGAGAGAGAGAACAAAAGGGAATGCTCCTGCCACAGAGGCGAGGGGAGGGGGGAATGAGGGTGGTGGTGGGAGGGATACTGGGATCATTGGTGATGGAGAATGGGCACCGGTGGAGGGATGGGTACTCGATCATTGTATGACTGAAACATAAGCACAAAAGTTTGTAAGTCTGTAACTGTACCTCACAGTGATACATTAAATAATAATAATAATAAAATAGTTTTGAAAAAGATATACAGGGGTTAAGGGAGCCTGCCTGGTACATGACCAACACATGTTCAACCCCCAGTATCATATATGATTCTCTGAGCAACTCGAGGCTGATCCTGAGCAGAGAGCAAGGAGTAAGCCCTGAGCACTGCCAGGTGTGTCCCAGATCCTCTCCCCCAAATAATAATAATAATAATAATAATAATGATGATGATGATGGTGATGGTTACCATTATAAAGAAAATATCTGATTATACAATATTCTTGTTCAAAAATCTTCTGTGTAGAGTTAGAAAGATAGACAATGGATAAGACATTTTCCTTGCACACAGCCTACTTGGGTTTGATCCCCAGCATCCCATATGGTCCCCAGAGCACCACCAAGAATGATTCCTGAGTACAGACCCAGGAGTAACCCCTGAGCATTGCCAGGCATGACCCCAAAACCAAAAAAAATTGTTTTCTGTGTCTTCTAGCTGAGTTTGAATCTATTCCTGAAACTATCTGATGTTTGTAGTTTCCCGTCCTTATTCCTCTGTGAACCCTTTACTCCCCACCCCCCAAAACTCATCTTGAAGTCTCCTACCTTCCTTCACTTATCTTCTGGGAAATGCTTTTCCTCCAAACTCAACTTGTCTAGAGCCCACGAATGCTCCGCAGCTTGAAGAAACTTCTAGCTCTTTCTTGAATTCCCAGGGAATCTCTCTCACAACCCTTTTAAGTTTCCAGTACT